GGGAGGCCAAGGCAGGTAGATCACGAAGTCAGGAGTTTAAAACCAGCCTGGCCAAGATGGTGAAACCCTGTCTGTACTAAAAATACAAAAATTAGCCAGGCGTGGTGGTGGGTGCCTGTAATCCCAGCTACTTGGGAGGTTGAAGCGGGAGAATCGCTTGAACCCAGGAGGCAAAGGTTGCAGTGAGCCGAGATTGCACCATGGCACTCCAGTCTGGTAACAGAATGAGACTCCATCTAAAAAAAAAAAAAAAAAAAAAAAAAAATTCACTTTAGGCCAGACATAGTGGCTCACACTTGTAATCCCAGTGCTTTGGCAGACCAAGGCAAGGGGGATGGCTTGAGCCCAGGAATTCAAGCCAGCCTGGATCACAACACAGTGAGACCCCATCTCTACAAAAAATAAATAATTGTTCAGTCCCAGCTACTCAAGTGGCTGAGATGGGAGGATTTCTTGAGCCCAGGAGTTCAAGGCTGCAATGAGCTAAAATTGTGCCACTGCACCCCAGCCTGGGCAACAGAGAAAGACCCTGTCTCAAAAAAAAAAAAAAAAAAGACAACTGGCTGGGCAAGTTGGCTCATGCCTATAATCCCAGCACTTTAGGAGGCCAAGGCCAGCAGATCATTTGAGATTGGGAGTTCAAGACCAGGCTGGGCAACATGGCGAAACCTATCTGTACTAAAAATAAAATCAGCAGGATGTGGTGACAGGCACCTGTAATCCCAGTACTAGGGAGGCTGAGGCAGGAGAATCGCTTGAACCTGGAAGGTGGACGGTGGTTGCAGTGAGCTGAGAACATACTACTGCACTCCAGCCTGGACAACAGAGTAAAGTCTCAAAAAAAATATGAGTCACTGTAACTAGGAAATCGGTAACACCCTGGACTGAGGACCAGAAATCACAAGAGGCCAGAACACTGTCCACTAAGGCTCCTGGTGTCACAGTCCAGCTGCTTAAGGAGGATTCAGGAGCCTACACTTCTAGCCTTCTGTTGCTGTCCCTGCAGCCACCACCACCTGACTTTTTGTCACTGATGTTGCTCTAGCCAGTGCTGCTGCCACCACCCAAGAAATCAGAAATCTGAAGCAGAGGCACATCTCCCTTCACATCTTCCATCTTTCGCCCCTGCCTTTCATCAGCAGACCCCAACAGGCAGGCAGCTGGCAAGAGAGCGTCGGGAGTGTGATGGGGGATCTGATTCTGTGTGGCCTTGCTACAGTACATGGCAGAGCACAGAAAGAGGGGTAGGGGGTGAAAGCAAACAAGCTAAGAAATGAGGGAATGATGGCCAGGCACGGTAGCTCATACCTGTAACCCCAACACTTTGGGAGGCTGAGCCAAGCGGATCACCTGAGGTCAGGAGTTTGAGACCAGCTGGCCAATATGGTGAAACCCCACCTCTACTGAAAACACAAAAATTAGCTGGGAGTGGTGGTGCATGCCTGTGGTGCCAGCTACCCAGGAGGCAGGAGAATCCCTTGAACTCGGTGTTATAAGTGAGCGAGTCAGAAGGAAAGTGCCACATTCTGAGTTCCAATTGAGAGTCCTCTATTTGCTAGCAATCGGGAGTCAGCTCACGCTCAAAATCTCTCGGCTCCAAGGAAGAAGTCTGATTCTTTTTTATACCTTGCTTAAGATAGAGGAGGAAGAGTCTAGCTGAAGCGGGATTTACAGAAGCAGAACAATCAAGTTAGATAAGGAGGCTGGTAACTAGGAGGCAGGAGGTTCCCATGATTGTTGATTACTAAGGAGGGTATTCGGTACTTGGCATACAATCAGTCAAGGAGGGTATTCACAATAGCAAGTGGGCTTGCCAAGCAGGATATGGTTGCAGTGGTTATATGCCTCTATAGTTCTAAGCACAGCATGACCCAGCACAGCAGCATGGCCCAGACATGCACTCATGGGAGAAATGGTGGGAGAGGTGAGGCAGAGGTTAAGATGGAGTCTGGCTCTCAGCAAGATGGAGTCTGTCAGGCTAACACAAGATAGATTAGCACACTCAGGAGGCAGAGGTTGCAGTAAGCTGAGATCGTGCCTCTGCACTCCAGCCTGGGTGATAGAGTGAGACTTAGTCTAAAAAAAAAAAAAAAGAAAAAATATTCAATGTTAAATGTATCCCAGAAGTTCCTGCTGATGATATCAAAATATGAAGTTCTTGCTGCAAGGCTCAGCTTGGTGCTAGATTCCGGGACTGCACTGGTGAACACAGAAAGCCCCCACTATCCTTGAACAATCACAGGGTGAAGACAGACAAGAAAACCAACCCTTCATTTGAAGGCATCATTACATATATCTGACAAAGGATTTTTTATCTGGAATATACCAAAAACCCTAAAAACAAATTTTAAGATGTAGAACCACCCTAAAAAATACATACGTCAAAAAAAAAAAAAAAAAAGGAGACCCTTCACTAAAGTGAATATTCCTGGGGCCAATAAATATGTAAAGATGCCCAAATTTATTAGTCACAGAAATGCAAAGTAAAACTCTAATAAGACACACTACATACCTATCAGAATGACTAAAGATAAAAAGACTGGCAATCGCTAGTATGAATGAAGATGTGGAGTACTGGAACTCTCCAACTGCTGATGAGAGCAGAGACTGGAACACACACTGGAGACTGCTTAGCAGTATCTAGAGCAGGTGTCCCTAAACTGCGGCCCCCTGAGGCCAGTTATCCGGCCCCCCGCCGCACTTCAGGAAGGGGCACCTCTTTCATTGGTGGTCAGTGAGAGGAGCACAGTATGTGGCGGCCCTCCAACGGTCTGAGGGACAGTGAACTGGCCCCCTGTGTAAAAAGTTTGGGGATGCCTGATCTAGAGAATCTAAGCTTGTACTTACCCTTGACCTAGCTATTCCATCTTCAGTTATACAACCCCGGGGAAATTAACACCTACCTCCACAAAAAAGACATGCACAAGAATATTCACAGGAGCTGCAATCATAAAAGCCCAAACCTAGAAACAACTCAGGTAAGGATAAATAGATGGATGGTGTGGAGAAGAGAATGGGTAAACTGTGGCACAATCATGTAATCGAATACTATTCAGTAGGAAAAAAATGAATGAGCTACTGCTACACACAACAACGTGGATGAATCTCACAGACACTGTTGAATGAAAATAGCCAGACACAGGAGTTCCTGTGAGTCCATTTTTTGAAGTTCAAGAGTAAGAGTAGACAAATGAAGCTATGGAGGTAGAATATGGAAGAGCACCTTGGGAGTATGACGGGTGGTCACAGGGAACTCTGCTACTGTGCTGGGAAGGGTCTCTACTGATTTGGGTGGTGTTTGCCCAGGTGTGTATGTATAGAAAAGCTCGTCAATCTATAAACATAAAATTTGTCAGCTGGGTGCTGTGGCTCACACCTGATATCCCAGCACTTTGGGAGGCTCAGGCAGGCAGATCACCTGAGGTCAGGAGTTCGAGACCAGCCTGGCCAATATGGAGAAACCCCGTCTCTACTAAAAATACAAAATTAGCCAGGTGTGGTGGCGCATGCCTGTAATCCCAGCTACTCAAGAGGCTGAGGTAGGAGAATCACTTGAACCCGGGAGGCAAAGGTTGCAGTGAGCCGAGATTGCGCCAGTGTACTCCAGTCTGGGCAGCGGAAGTGAAACTCTGTGTCCAAAAAAAGATTTGTGTGCTTTATAGAATATGTGTTGCTCCTCCAATAATTAACCAAAAGTACAAGGTAATTTCATATAAACATGCATGCTAAGAAGAAATTAAAAGTGAAGTGATGGGGGAAGGGGCTGACTTAGCAAGCTGAGGCTTGAATGGAAGGGGTGGCCAGGCCATGGGCACAGGGGCTGCCTGTTGGGAGAGGGAGGGGGAACGTGCACAGGCCTGAGGCAGGATCAGTTGTGTTTGCTGGGGGAGCCTCCTCACGGCCAGTGGACTGAAACAGCGTGTGGGTAGGGAGCTGAGCGGGTCCGAGGCAAGCCCATATCGCAGCAGGAAGCCGTCACGGTATGAAAGGGGAGTGCTGGCAGAACTCTGAGGGCTCAGACGTCAGAAGTGAGGGAAAGAGAGACCTCTGATGACTTCAGTGTGTGGCTAGGACATCTGGGAGGGGAGACTGGGGTTCCATTGAGTGAGGGAAGAGGCAGTGGAGTCAAGATTTGCGTTTGACACTATAAGTCCGAGTCACTCATTAGATGCCCCTTGGAGTTGCTGAGGCACAGTGGGCCATGGGGCCAAGTTCTGAGCCAGGCCCAGTGGATGTTGTGAATGTACAGAGGTCTAGGGGAGCAGAGAGCAGAGAAGGAGACAGGAGCGTTTTAGGAAAGACTAGAGCTGCCCGAGGGTTTGGATCAAAACTGCTTTAAACATGCTTCTTCAGCCATGCGTGGTGGCTCACGCCTGTAATCCCAGCACTTTGGGAGGCCGAGGCAGGCGGGTCACCTGAGGTTGGGAGTTCAAGACCAGCCTGACCAACATGTAGAAACCCCGTCTCTACTAAAACTGCAAAAAATTTGCCGGGCTTGGTAGCACATGCCTGTAATCCCAGCTGCTCAGGAGGCTGAAGCAGGAGAATCACTTGAACCCGGGAAGTGGAGGTTGTAGTTAGCTGAGTGCGCGCCATTGTACTCCTGCCTGGGCAACAAGAGTGAAACTCCATCTCAAATAAATAAATAAGTGCTTCTTCAACAAGCACTGAGTTACTCCTGGCCAGGCATGGAGAACCCAGCAGCAAGCAGGGTCCCAGCCTGTATTCAGCGCTGCCTGCTTCAGGCCAAACTTCCTGGAGCCCGGGCCACGGCACTGACATGCAGATTCCCGGGCCTACCCAAGCCCCACTGAAACACAGTGGCCAGAGGCAGTTGCATGTTTCAAGTTCCCTGGGTGATGATTTTGCATAAGAAAGTTTGAAAACCTTTCACTTTCAGTGGTCCAGGAGTAAGTGCAGGAGGTGTGTGTGCTGGGGGGTGGAGAGAGGCAGAGCACAAGCAATTTCCTCTTTCCAAGAGTGGGGCTGCTCCCAGGTTCAGGAAAGCATGTCTATTCTGTGAGCTCTTGCTCTGTGTGTGTGTGTGTGTGTGTGTGTGTGTGTGCGCGCGCGGGGGGCGGGCACGGTGTCCCAGGAGGACAGAGTTTGCATTGATGAAAACCTTTCCCAGCCCTCTGATGCCTTTCTCACTGCCCTGAAGTTAGCCAGCCCAGTCTTCCGAGCGTCCCGCCCGCCGATGCGCTCACTCCTGGCCAGGATGGCCTCCTGTCTGGCCCTGCGCATGGCGCTGCTGCTGGTCTCTGGGGTTCTGGCCCCTGCGGTGCTCACAGGTAAGGAGTGAAGGCCCCCGTCTCTGCCACCACCAGCCTCCCAGGGCTGATAACTACCTTGGGGCCAGATTCTCCAACGTCCACTGGGGAGGAAGCCCCTTCACAGGAGACGGGACAGCCATTTGGGGTGATTCTGCGAAGAGCTCTCGTGAGACCGGCTGGCAGCGCTGTGTGGGATGGACGTCTCTGGACATCGTTAGCAGCAGGGATAACGGCCTCTGAAGAGGGAGGATGACCTGGGGGCAGGCCCAGAGATGTTTCGATGTTGGGGGGACATGGGACTTGCTCTAGCACTTGAAAATCTGAAGTCTCCCAGGTCTGGGAGGCAGCCGGGGGTACCAGGCACAGGGCAAGCGGCTGAGGGGCCCAAAGAACGCAGAGCCTTGCTGATTACTTTTCAAAAGCTTCCCTGCTGATTTCTGTGATGTCCTTAGAGAATGAAGACCCACGTACTGTCCCCATCTAGGGAAAGGTTCCAGAGAGGGAGAACACAAGCCCCAAGATCCCTCTGCAAAACAGCGTGGACGTCTGGACTGAGATCAGAGTGGCCGGGTCTGGGGTCCCATGAGAGGGAGGCCTCCGGCAGGCTCCCGGGGGTCCTGTGTGGGGGCGGCAGGGGGAAAGCTGGCCCAGGCTGGCTTCAGAGCCTGAGAGACAAAGGGTGCAGCTGGGTCCCAGGTGGGCTTTGCTTCTGCTGGCCAGGAGTTGGACCAAAGGGCCGCCGGCCTGTGTCACAGTTGCGGGTGTCCAGGCGCCCGCAGCCTGGGCCTTCTGAAGGGTGCCCGTGGGCCTGTGACAGAAGTGGACCACAGTCATGAGAGCTCAGGCTGAGGAGGGTTGCTGGGGGACGACAGGCCTGGGAGACCCCCTTGGCCACCCCCTGGGAGGCCTGGGTGACAGCGAGGAGCCCTGGGGCTATTGGCTTCTCCCTGCACACCCAGGAAGGAGCTGGAGGCCGGGGTGTGCCCAACCTCTCGGCACCTTCCCCTCATCTGTAGGATGGGGACACGGCCGCGCTCTGCCTCACTTGCCGGGGCTGTGAGGCCTCGTGAGTTTAGATGTGCGGAGCTTTCGGGATGGGCCCCGAATCCTGGTAGCGCTCAGTGAACGTCGGGGGAATTCGGATTCTGTGGCCTGAGCCCCTCCCTGGCGCAGGGTGGTCTCAGCAGAACTCTACCTCCTCCCACAGGCTGGGAGGCTGCCAGCCTCCTTTGTGGTGGGAGAGGCACCAGCGAGACATGCGGTGTCCCCAGGAGTGGGGGGAGGGACCTAAAGGGGAAGGTGGCGTCTTCCCTGGCTTGGATCCTGGGGCTGTGATCTTCGCGGCCCCCCTCACCAGGATGACGCTGCTTCTCCAGCCTGGTGGTCCGTGTGGGTGGAGGGGGAGGCCCTGGCTCCTGGCTGCTGAGCCCGGGGGCGCTGCCTGTGCTCTGGCCCGGGTTCCAGCTCCTGTGTGGCTGACCCTCCCCGCCCAGGCTGCCGGCCAGAGTTCCCGGGCCAGACTGTCCCTAATCACTGTGGGCTGGTGGGCTTCCTCTGCCACCACAGGATGCCTCGGGGACAGCCAGGACCTCACCTGGCCTCACCACCCCTCTTCCCTCCATGTGTCCTACCAGGAGCAGGCCAGCCCCCAGGCAGGGGCCGGGGTCTCTGGGGCTCTGGCTGTTGTTCTTGCCATTGTGAGAGGGGAAGGGCGTTTGGGAGGCGCTCAGTACCCAACCCTGGGCTGGGAGCTCTGAGCAGGTGTGTACCCCCGGCCCTCTGCTCTGTGGGCTGGGGTCCTGCAGCAGACAGGAAGGGAAGGAGCGGCCTCGTGGGCTAAGGCCCAGGCCCCAGCTGAGGCACAGACCCTCCCTGTCGGGGCCTGTGGCCTCAGCTACTGAGGTGGGAGCAGGCAGGGCTGAGTGGGCGGGAGGCCAGGGCAGGGATGAAAAGGCCCTTCATGGCCCACACAAAGAGTGTCTGTGAGTGGTGGCGCCCAGCCTCAGGGCCCTGTGGTCAGAACAAACTTATTTACTGAAAGGCAGGGTGGCTGGGGCCAGTGGGGCTGGGAGAGAGCCTGTGGTGCCCAGGCCTGTGGCAGTGCCACCAGGCCCCTGCTTCCCTGGGTCAGAGCACCTAGTCACACCACATAGCTAATTCCGATCAATGGAGTCTGGGCCTTATTACCGCCCAGACAGATGGAACTTTCTCGGGGTCCTCCGTGGCCCCACCCCTTTGCCACCCTCACTTCTGTCCCCCTGGCCTGTTCACTGCTTGCCCGGCATGCCATGAGTTCCGTCCTCCACGCCTTCGCTCCCGCCCCTGTCTCTGCCCTCCCAGACAGGACTCCTGCTGGGAAACTGACTGCTCTGGGCTGGGCTTCCCAAAAGGATAGGTTTGGGGGAGCATGGGAATTGCCTCTCAGCTGTGCCGTGCTTGCCCTTCTTACTGGAGCAAATTCTAGAAACAGAGGGGGATAAGAAATGCCTCAGCCCCTCCCCGGCAGTGGCACCCCTTTTCCTGGTGGCTCGGTGGCTGAGTACAGGCTGTCATTACGAACACATGTGTCTGCCACGTGGGCACCAGCCTAGGTTGGCAGGAAGCTGGTAGCCCCTGGGGCCCTGGCTACTTGGGTGCAGATAGGTCCTGGGCCAGCTGTAAGGGATTCCTGTGACGGGCCGGCCAGCGGCTGCAGACATACAGCAACTGGGCCTGTGTCCAGAGCGCCCCAGGCCAGGGGCAGCAGCTGAAGATGCTGATGTTGGCAGTTACCTCCTTGTGGAAGATGCTTGACCGCATAGTCTGAACCCCCACCTCACAGGCCAGGAAGGCGGAGTCGGGGCATGAAGTCCAGCTGCTGGGGCCCCAGGGTGATAGCCCGATGGAGCAAGGACAGGCCCCAGCCCTCCCGATTAGAAAGCTTCACGGCCTGGCCGGCAGGTGGGGCTGTGTATACAGTGGGAGGAGGCTGGGGCAGGCATGTCTGGTGCTGGGGGCAGCAGACAGAGGCTGGGGCACGGGAGACAGACGGGGACAGGGCTGGAGTGGAGCTCCCCACTGCCCTGCTCAGAGGGCATCCTCAAGGGTGGCAGCTCACCCCTGCTGGGCTGGCCTGGGGACTGAGCCCTGCCACTCATCGTCCTGAGCTCAGGGGTGATTCCCACAGATGCCACCAGGGTCAGCTGAGCCTGGTACCCCGCAGGTAGCGGCCTCTAGATGCAGGGAGGTGCCTGCCTGTCGGTCTGCCTTGGGTATGTCATTTGTCCATTTCTCTGGAGAGACAGGTAATCGGTGAGCCTAGATCCTGGTGCCTGCCAGGCGGGGGCACACTCAGGCCTTTTTCCTGCCCAGCCTCCAGAAGCCTGAGGAAAGCACACCTGGGACGCCTGGGGCCTTCCATGGAGGCTTCGAGGCTGCAGACGCCTGCCTCTCAGGCTGCGACATGGGAGGCCTGGCTGGGTCACCACCCTCTCCTCTCAGGCTGGGCATCAAGGTTGGTGGGAGGCTGACAGACACCAGTGCCACAGTCCTTGGGCCCCTCAGGAGGGAAGCCTCCCCCAGGTGAGGGCCAATGGGCCTTCCACCCCCGGGGCCTCCTGCCAGAGGTCTTTTCTGGAAAGGGATTCTGCCTTGGGCCAGACCTGGGGAATTTGGCAGGTCAGCTGAAAGGTCAGCAAGCCGAGTCTCAGAGCCGAGGCTGGCAACTGACCTCTCCAGGCTTGAGAGAGGCCCAGGAAGCCAGGTCCTGCTAACATTTTATTGTGGAAAGATTTTAGGTTTACAGAAAATTTGCACAAATAATCCAATGAACTCCAGGAAGCCATCCAGCTAGTCTCGCCAACTGCCAGCATTTTGCCACATTGCTGCATCCTCTTTCTATCTGAACGCTGAGTCATTTGAGAGTAAGTTGCAGGAGTCATGCTCCTTTGCCCCTAAATTCATCCGAAGAACAAGGACATTCTCTTACACACCAGAGTCAGCTATGAAAGCCAGGAAATGAGTGCTGAAGGTGTCCTAAGCCACACCCTGTTCAAACTTCACCAACAGACCCCAGCATCTCCGATCACAGGCCCGTCCCTCCCCGTCCAGGAACACACCTTGCACTGAGTTGTCTCCCTAGTCTCTGATCTGGAACCTTCAGCCTTTCTTTGATTTTCCTGACTGTGACATTTGGGAAGGCCCAGTTATTCTGACTGATGCTGGGTCTGGGTGGGCTGATGTTTCTGCGTGTTTGCCCTAGATGGGCACAGCTGGCCGGAAAACCCTGGAAGGACCTGTGTCTTCTTGAGCATCTCCCTCTCTGGGTTCTGGGGAGCCTAGGAGGAGGGCAAGTGTCTGGCTTGACTCTGTGACCATGCCCCAGCGCTCAGCAATGGAACCCGCAGGGACAAAATGTGCCCTAGGGTCGCAGGCTGGCCTGTATGACCCGTTCGCACAGCAGCAGCCTCCTGCACAGTTTCTGGGCAGCACAACTGCTCCTGCAACTGTCCAATCTTCACCCCAGCGCTCACCACCGCGGCACCTGACTTCCCCAAACCTTGGTTTTCTCATCTCTGAGATGGAGATAAAAGCAGTTCTCACACCAGAGTAGCTGGAGTCAAAGAGATGAGATGTCGGGACATCCCCCAGCTCATCCTAGGGATCTGCTTGAGGGTCGAGTGTCTCTGGATCACAGTCTCCATCCTAGTTGAGATGGGGGCATGAGGCCCACCACTGTGGCACACACCTGTAATCCCAGCACTTTGGGACGCCAACGAGGGCAGATCACCTGAGGTCAGGAGTTTGAAACCAGCCTGGCCAACATGGCAAAACCCCAGCTCTAGTAAAAATAGAAAATTAGCCAGGCATGGTGGCGAGCGCCAGTAATCCCAGCTACTTGAGAGGCTGAAGCAAGAGAATCGTTTGAATCCCGGAGGTGGAGATCACGGTGAGCTGAGATTGCACCACTGTACTCCAGCCTGGGCCACAGAGGAAGACCCCATCTCAACAAAACAAAACAAAACAAAAAACAAAACAAAACAAAACAAAACAAAACAAAAAAACCTACAAAACCCTGAGAGATTAGGGCATGGGCAGGCCCTGCCCTGCTAACACTGTGATGTCAGCTGGTCTGGCTGGGCTGGAGAGGCAGAGAGCCGGCCGACCATCCCCATCTTGAGCTTTCCAGCGTTTTTGGGGCCTCCTGTCTGGTTGCCCCGGAAGAATGGCCCAGGGCTGGGGTGGTGGGCTGGGGAGGACAACTGGGGTGGGCTGGCTGGTGAGGGCACAGGGCCCGGTTATCATGCAGGGTCTCAGCCTGTGCTTTCTGTGGGACCTGAGAATGTCTCCTTCCTGCTCTCTGGTCCCTGGGTACCCTAAATTCTGCTAACTCCCAACCCTATGAGCAGAGAAGGGCTTTGGAGGGGCACCTCCCTTACATTGAGCAGACACTCCTGCCCACCCACCAGCCCTGCTCTTCAGGAGGCACCAATGCACTGGCTTCAGCTTCTTAGCAGAGGCCCCGGCTGCTCCTGTGCCCTGCGGGCCCCACACTTGGTGCAGGATGGGCCCGAGGCAGGGAAGCGAGTGCCTGTGCTCCTAGGGTTCCCGGTGGGTCTCTCCTCCCACTCCCTGCAGCAGTGGAGCCCCATAGATAGCAGCCTCTTCCCAGGATGAAGGCTGCTCTGTGTCGTCTGCCCTGTGGGGAGGGAACCCTCACAAGGGTCACTTCACCCAGGCCCACACAGCCCTAAAGTTCAGATGGAACAGGCCAAGCCCCTGCCCAGGATCTGAGGGCTTGGGCCCATGTCCCCTGCCTCTGCCACCAGCCCAGCGTTCTCATGGCCTTCTGAGGCCCTTATTCCCTCTTCTGGGGCAGCCTGGCCCCAGAAGCCACTGTGGGGTGACAGGCATGCGGTCTCCTGGTTTTGGGAGGCGATTTCGAAGCTACCTTGCCTGGGAAATAAGAGGGCCAGTACAGCGCTGGGCCCAGACCTCTCACACAGCGCCACGTGCAACTTGCTTAACCCAGAGGTGGGGGTCATGTCCTGTCGGCTCTGTCACCTGGGGCCCGAACGCCTCTCCTTGGCCTTGCAGATGAGGGTCTGCAGGAGCCGGTGCCCACGCTGTGGAACGAGCCAGCCGAGCTGCCGTCGGGAGAAGGCCCTGTGGAGAGCACCAGCCCCGGCCGGGAACCCGTGGACACCGGTCCCCCAGCCCCCACCGCCGCGCCAGGACCCGAGGACAGCACCGCGCAGGAGCGGCTGGACCAGGGCGGCGGTACGGGCGGGGCAGGGGCGGGTAAGAAGGAGGGGCCCGGGGCACGGGGAGAAGGGCCGGCCGGGGCGGGGGCCCGCGAGTGACACGGTCCTCCGTCCTCCGCAGGGTCTCTGGGGCCCGGCGCCATCGCGGCCATCGTGATCGCCGCCCTGCTGGCCACCTGCGTGGTGCTGGCGCTCGTGGTCGTCGCGCTGAGAAAGTTTTCCGCCTCCTGAAGCCAATAAAGGGGCCGCGTCCGGCCGCGGCGCGAATCGGCTGCACTCCCGGCGCGCCCGTGTGTCCGCGCGTGCAGGTGTGCCAGAGCGTGAGCGCGCAGGCGAGCGCGCAGGTCGGGGGTGCGCTCGCGGGGTGGGGGGTGGTGAGGGCAGGCGTCGTGCACGCGCGCGGGCGGTGAGGGTGGGCGTCGTGAGCGCGCGCGGGCGGCGAGGGTGGGCGTCGTGAGCGCGCGGTGCGCGTGCGCCGGGGCCACCAGGGCGCCAGAGTTGGTGTGTGGCCGGTGCCACGGGCGGCCACTTCTCTCGGCGCCGCCTCCTCTGCTTGGGCCCGGGCCTTGGCTCTCACCGCGCTCCCCCGAGCCTGGCCTCCATTCCGCTCCGCTGAGGTCCAGAGCGTTCCATAAGGAGGGAAGCGCGAGGGCCAGAAAGGCCGACGGAGACTCCGGGGCCCCCGGCTCCCTGAGGCAGGGCTGGGGGAGGGCGGGGGCGTCGGCGCTCCCAGCCAGGGGCCGCGTTATTTTGGAGGACGTCTTGTGACTCTGGGTCCCACAGCAAGGGCCCCATCCGCGGGCTCAGACCCGCAGCCCCAGGCCCCCCGGGAACCCTTCTGCGCAGGGAGCCCCGGGAGCCCCGGGAGGGGAGCGGGATGAGTCGACGGCCGACGCTGCCGGCCCTGCTTCCCACGCTCACCCCCAGGCCTGGCTGGGCCGAGCCGGCAGCCGCCACGCCGAGGGTTCGTCTGTTCAGGGAGAGAAAATGGCTGTTCCAGATCCACTCACCCCACTTTACCCTCAGAGCGTGGGGGAGGAGTGAACGAGGAACCGCCTGGCCCACGGTCCCCACCTCGAAAGCGTTTAGAGATGTAAACTTTGATCCTTTGCTCATTTAACCTTCGGCTTAGCAGGGAAGTGGGCACTTGGTCCCTACCCCAGTCCCCTGGGCCTTTGGACGGAAGGCCCGGACAGTTTGGAAGCCAGCAGACCCCTAGGGGTCAGCTTAGTGCATCTGGAGATTCCAGAGTGGGCTGCTGCTGGAGGGCAAGCTGCTCCTCTTTCTTTAAAAACTGTTTCTCCAGCAGCTGTTTTGGCCTCTTTGGTGTGCCTGAGCTCCCCGTGGCTCCATTTTCTGCCCTGACTTTTCTCCCTGGACACTCGAGGAGCCCAGGTGGTGCCCATGCACCTCTCACACGCTGGGGCATGGGGCCAAGGCCTCATCCGCGTCTGTGTTGACAGCTTCCGACTCCACTAGTCTCCCCAAAACACACCCCTAAACGATGCTGCTTATAAAGGAGTGCTATGAAATGGGCCTATTTTCCTAATCGGTTAACTTAATTTCATCTCATAACTTTGAGTAACCAAAGCCTTCATTACGGCGGATGATCCAACTCCATAGCGTCACAAAGCACAGGGACCAATGGCCACCCACTCCTTCCCAACCCTCCCCTCCAGGGGTCAGCGATGGCCCCCCCTTTCCCTTTCCCCACTCTGCAAGCACTCCCCCACCAAGGGGTGCATCACGAGCCTGTCGCTGGGACCAGGGGGCCCTCCCTCTCACACCTGTGCATCCCTGATTCTCAGAGGCTCTGAGGTCTCAGGACCGCCAAGCACCCTGCTGTGGCCTGTGGGAAGACGCTGCAGAGTCCACTGGATCTAAATCGAAGGCCTGTTCCGGCAAGCAGGGAAACTGTCCTGGCAGAGAGGGTGGTCCTGGACACACAGGACCCCTCAACAGCTGGGACGGAGCTGGGGCAAGGAGAGGGGCTGCAGCTCTGGGTAACGGAAGGTGTGAGGGACCCAAGGCCTGTGTCTGAGCTGTGCAGAAGTCCCAGCCCCACGCCTGTGCTTAGACCCCCTGTAGGGCCCCCATCAGGGACACTTCAGGGCCTCTGTGGCCTTCCATAGCTGTGCCCTCACTGCCACTGCAGCAGAGGGGCATCCGCAGCTCCCGCAAACAGCCCCTTCTGTTTCTGGAGTCTATAAGTGTAGCCCAAATCCACTCCCATGCTGAGGTGAGGCCCAACTGCTCCCCGTTGCTCTGGAAACTTCCTCAAGCCCCTCCTTTCGGACAAGCCTCCTCCACCGGCCTCGAAGGGGTGCTCCTCTCTCCCTGCCTGGAACCAAACACCGCCTTCCTTTGTGTACCAGGGCAATAAAGAGTAGACCTTCATCTCCTTTATTTTATATATGATGCTTCTTTTAATGCAGCCAAAAGTGATATTTGCTTTTCTCAGAACCATAATCAATACAAGATGCAGTGGCCAATTCATTCCTTAAAACACCTGGGCTCCTTAAGGGACCAGAAGACACAAGTTACATCCAGCCCATCAGGGAGCCAGAGGCGGGAGGGGTCCCCAGCCAAGCTCTGGCAGGCCTGTCGTGGAGCAGGGCCTGACCGTGCAGCCAGAGGCTGGCAGAGGCCTGGGGAGGGGTGGACAGAGGCGGCTGGGCTCTCAGTCCTGTGAACTGGAGACCAAGGGCTGCTCATCAAGCTCCGTCAGGCAAGGGCGGCCCCACCTGTGCCTGGTGGATTCTAACTGCTTCCAAGGTAGAGGAGGACGCGTGCAGGAGATCATGTCAATTGTCACCTTCTGCCTGCCTCCCACAGGGACGCTCTGGGTTGGGAGCCTCTTCGAGTCCCTGGGGGCCAGGGGCCGGGGAGGCCCTGGATCGTGCCCACTCCCTTCCGCCCCCTCGGAGGCATGAGGGTGGTGGCGTAATACTGCTGAAACCTTCTTGCTTACAAATGCATCAGGAGAGGCGTGGGCACCCTTTATCCAGTTTTCAAGCAAGGGGCCAAGACACGTGAGCACTCATTGTGTCGGCAGGGATGAAGGCCAGGCACCCCAAGCCAGATCGTGCCACCTGGGGAGGCGCTGGCCTGTGCTTCCCAGAGCCCCCCACCTTCTGTCGGGGCCGCCTGCAGGCCCTGCTCCCGCCAGCCCCCCGAGCGGGGGTCATTGCCGATTCCGGCTGCCCAGCTTCCTGCGGTCCTTGTTCTGACTGCGCTGAGGGTCATCCATCTTGTGGACACGGAAGCATTCCTTGAGATTCTGGGACCGGATCTTGGGATTCAAGATCTCTTCTGTCATGGAGCTGGGGAACCAGCCTCTCTCCTGGTCGTGTAGACGCTCGCCAAAGATCCACCCTGTGCAGGGAGGGGAGAGAGGGAGGGTCAAGCGTTCCTGCAGGACAGGGGCTGCGCGGAGGCTCCCTCTCGGCCCGGCCTCCATCTGTATGTGGGACACTGGGGGATCCAGCTGGCCTTTTCCGAAAGGCAGGGGCTCTGCACACCTCTGCCGAGATGCTCAGACTGGATTCACCCCCATGAGCTGGGAGGTACGTGGCACCTGCGCAGAATGAGGCCTGCTCCGTCCCACGCAGTTCCACGTTGACTTTGGAACCCACTCTGGGACCCTCAGCAATTCTATGCTGCCCTACACGAGCCCAGGAGACCCCAAGGGCCACTCCAAAAAGCTGGAGGCGCTCAAGGGGCCAGTGGCGGTGGCAGCTGAGCATGCGGGTGGCCGCCTGGACGTGTCATCCACCTCTTGTTGGGCAGAACCTCCCAGGCGTGGCCTCCTGATGGCCGGCGTGGTCAGTGGAGAGGGCCCCTCGCAAACTGGCAGTGCCAGGAGTCGTAGCGTCATCTGGCTTCTCCCCGCCCCGTTTCTCCACCCCTCCCCTTCTCTAGAGACCTCCAGGTCTTTGCTCAGAGCCTGTGGCTGACCTGTAGTGTGTCCCAACTTGGGGCTAAGAGACCTGGGGCGTGCGCTCTGCAGTCTCATTTGGGAGGGGCGTAGGCTGGTTATATTCTGTAGGAAGAGGGCGGGAGAGCCCCTGGGCCTTTGGGGGCTTACAAGATGGACTGCCTAGAGGAGGCCTCCCCCAGAGGTCACAGCCTGAGGCCTTCTACTGGGACCCGGCAGGAGAGGAGGAGCTGGGAAGGAAAATGCTGCTGTTCTCTCTGGGGATTTGGATCAGGAACAATGACTGGAGACACACGGATGTGATTTGAAAAAGGAAAGGGGGACTGTGTTCAATTCTATGGGGCTGGGAGGAACGTCACTTGGTTCTGATGAGCAGCAGCAGGGGCGGCCAGGAACTGGGGGCGGCTTCCTCGGTACATGGGGTACCAAGCCTGGGGGTCACAGGCTTACCTGGAAGGTTGCTGCAAATACAGGGCTGGGGCGGGGTCAGGTCAGGGTTAGGATGTTCCTGGTGGTCCTCCCTCCCCCGTGATGGGGGTTCCAAAGCCAGGGCCAGGGGAAGGGGACACGGAGCCACCACTTGGGCTGAGCCCACTGTGAAGGAGGAACGGTGGGGCCTCCCAGCTCTAGGGAAGGACAGGGGAGGTACTAAAAATGATTCTTCTCTCGGCCGAGGAAAGGCCAATGAAGCCAGGACGGGAGGTGTCCAGGCGGAACACTCAGGGAGTGAGAGCCGAGACAGGGTGCCGGCCCCACCTGCCCATCAGCCAGCGGTGGCATCTCCTTCTCCTCCTCCCCCTCATCCCTTGCCCGGCAGGGCTCCATGCGGCATCCCTGGGGGCTCCAAGGGGAGGGCCCGGCCTCACCATCGTCAGTCTTGTCCAGGATGTTGAGGATGTCCGCGAGCTCCAGCGTCAGCTCGTCTGGCTGCTGAGCCACGTAAGGGTGCACGCACTGGACCTGGGGGCAGTCTGAGGGACAAGAGGCACAGGCACGTCCCCACCACGGCGACAGCCACCTGCCTGCTCCCACTAAGCCCGAGGCTGAGCCCTGCCTAGAATGGGAAAACTCCCACAGCAACTGAAGAAGGCTTGTCCGAGGAAGAGGAGGGTTTGTTTCCAGAGAAAACGTTATTAACATAGCCAGGAGTTCTGGGAAGAAACCCATGAACAAAGGCTGTGAGGTAGCCTTTGTTTAAACTTCAGAAGGAACTTTTGTAGCTGAAACTGCAGGCACACACCGCCACGCCCAGCTAATTTTTGTATTTTTAGCAGAGATGGGGTTTCGCCATGTTGGCCAGGCTGGTCTCAAGCTCCTGACCTCAGGTGATCCACCCGCTTCGCCCTCCCAAATTTCCGGGATTACAGGCCTGAGCCACTGCACCTGGCATTTTTGTATTTCATAAGCTTTTTGGGCACCTGACAACCCTAAAATAGCACTGGAGTTTGGTCCAAATTCCTCCTGGTGACTTTGTGGCACCTGTCACTTAAGGGCCGTCTAACATTCGAACAACATAGGCATGTCAGGTTTCTGGCTGGTACTAAGTTTCCACTGGAAGCAGCCCCTGGGGGCCCATGCAGGCCTCTGTGACGACCCGCTCAGGGAGGGCTCCCTCTAGGCAGGTGCACGAGCCCGGCGGCAGCCGGCAGGGCCGGCCCAAGCACAAATGGCAGCCCCTTCCCCACGGGTGACTTACCCAGCAGCCGGGATGTGAATGAAACAAACTTGGTCCTCCTGTTGGGAGCCAGCGAGGTCATCCAGCGCTTCATCTCACTCCTGGCACAGGGAAGAAGACAGTGCCCCAACCGCGGAGCAACAGCGGTCCCCAAGATGTGCGCCAGGCTTCCCAGCTAGCTGCCCCTCGGACCCGCAGCCACTGTCCTGAGCATCACTTGAGCCCACCCCAGGGATGGCCGGGAGAGCCACAGAAATGGGCTGGTCCAGGGTCTGACACACGCAGGAACCCACAGAGGGACAAGGGAGTGTCCCCATGATGTTCCCGTGTGAGGCTTTCCAAAGTCAGGCAATGAGGGTGAGCCCGAAAGGTAACAGCCCCCACCAGGTAATACACAAGAGCACAGTCTTTGGCCACAGCCACACCACCGAAGCCACAGTTTCTCATCCCCACGGGCCCTGCCCTGGTCTATGTTAGCTGCAGCCTCAGATCTGGGCAGGGGAGACTACGTGGTGAGTTGTAGGTGAGGGGCAGCTTCGGGGCCACGGCAGGAGAGTGGAGCCTCAGCTCAGCAGGCCACAAGGGAGTTCCAGGCTCAGGGCCTGCAGAGCATCTCTCCCCACACTTAGCTTGCTTGTCCCTCTTGGGGGGCCTAGGGCTGCTGGGCAGGGGTCCCAGCTGCTCAGAGAGGTGAAGAGATGAGCTCAAGGCCACACAGCAAGTGGGCAGGCAGGGAGGAGGAGGGTGGTAGTTCCCTACTCAGCTTGACTGGAGGGTTCTAAAACAGCCCATCAGAAAAAAGGGACTCGCCTGGAATCTGAAGCCCCAAGGGAACACACACACACACACACACACAGACACACACACGCACGCACGCACGCACACGCACGCGCATGCGCACATGCAGGTACACGCACCCAGGAAACTGCAGCCACCCCCAGAGGCGTCACAGAAAGCACTGCCGCACGGTCTGGATGGGAAGGACGGCCAGGTCAGCCCCACGAGGGGCGTGCATGGTGCCTTGTGCCACCTGAGGCAGACCCATAGGCATCAAGGCCACACTGAAAGGTGCCACGGGTGCCACCAGGCATGCGACGGCGAGACACTCACTGAGAGGACGCCTTTAGCATGTAGGTGGCCTCCCGGTCGTCCGCGTTCTCCAGCAGCCGCAGGATGAACACGTTGGCCAGCGTCTGGCCCTGGTCCTCCAGCTCTTCCACACGCAGCAGGCCCCGAGGGGCTGAGTCAAATACCTGGTACTTGTCTCTGGAGATCAGGGAGAAGGGCAGGCGTGTCAGCCCCAAGGAGGCTTGTGGGGGTCCCAGGAGAGCCCCATTTGGCAGGCCAGCCAGCCTGGCTCCACAGTGCTGGCCAATCTTCACCTCCTTCTGAAACTCCCACCTGAACGCCTGTCTTCCGCACCCCAAAAGGGTGACCCATCCCAGGTGCTGACAATGGACAGCACCACTGTCCTGCCAACCCTGACGACCCCACCATGGCTGCCCTGCCGAGCACTCGCTATGTATCAGACGCAGGGCCCTTCACAGCCCTAGGAGTAAAACCCCCGATTTACAGGCGGGGAAACTGAGGCTTAGGGAAGTGAAACAACCTTGGCTAGAGGCCCAAACCTGGGCCACAGCAGAACAGACCTTTGAACATGACCCAAAAGCCCAAGCTCTGTCCCGATCCCCACTACCCCCAGGCCACACTCAGACCCAACGCCCAACACGTTCCTCTGCCCAGCAGAGTGCCTGGCACCCTGGGCCCCGACTCACCCTGGAATCTGCCGGCAGATCACCAG